TGGCACTATTTCCCCCTCCCCCCCTTTTCTCCGGCTGCCAAGGAGTCATTGATTTTGATTAGTTTCACTGCAGAGCGTCTGTGAAGAGAGAGGGAGGGAGGGAGGCTTTGAAATAAATTTTAAAAAAGACCTCATATCGGGTTTCAGCAGACAGCAGAGTGTGTGCATGTGCGCGTGTGTGTCCAGGCCTGTGAGATCATTGTTTAGGTAGCTCGCTGCATAATGAGGTGAGGCGCAAACGGAAGGGCCGCCTCCTGAGAGCTGGTTGCTCTCAGAGGGCGGGGGTCCTGGAGCCATGGGGACCAGAGCCCCCTGGGACTTCCACGTTCCAAAGCAGATCCATGGCCTTCTGGAAGCTTCTTTCCCCTACCCCATCCTCCTCAAGAACATAAGATCACTTTTCCCCTTTACAAATTTGGGGTTCCATTTCACATTCCTTTTGGCACAGATGCTGCTTGGGTAACAGGTTTCTTTGGGGGAGCCCACGTGCCTCTTTGGCTGCTGTCCATGGTCCTGGGCCGTGAATGTCTGGGAGAACCCAATTCCTATTTTTTCCTCTTTCCTGGGGATCCTGGAGACTTATTTTACACTTCTTCCAGTGGTCTTATTTTAAAATTCCTTTCTACTTTGATGGCAAATGGTGATTGAAAGAATGCTGCCACAGAACAATGGAACTGTGACTGTGATTTCACAATTTATGTATCTGATCTCATATACTCCTAGCTCTATTTTATTATGTTTCTGACAGCGATAAAATATCACTTCCCCTCGCTGTGAAATGGGGGGAGTCCTCCTATGATGCCACACAAGCATCTTTCGGGGACACTCGTTTGCCATTGTGGACTTTCTGAGTGTCCAGCTGGTATTAGAAGCTGCAGTGACCAGAACAGAGGTTTTGTTCTTCTATGTTGATAGCTCCTCTTTGGAATGGTCTCTTAAGTACCCTTGGGCCAATCAGGGGGTCCAAAGCTTTGCGGAAATTGAAGGTGGGACAGGCTAGATACCCCGGCCTGGTCCCATGAGAGCTGGTAGAAAGAGGAAATTGATGTCAAAGTGTCCTTTTAAAGCTTAAACCGAAAGTTTCTTTTTGAAATTTGAATTCGTTCATTCAACACCTGTTGATCAAGTACCTACAACGTGCCAGGCTGTAGAATTCCATCTGGGGAGAGACTCACTTGTTCATCGCCGAGGGGCAGCCCTGCTTAGAACAAATGATGCGACATGTCCCTTCCCAGTCTGGTTCCCAGTTTTTAACAGATTTGTCAGGTCATCGCTAGGACCCCAAGCCTCGCTGGCAGATTGTTCTAGAGTATGCATAGTTACTGAGCGCCATACTATCAGGAAGGCAATTAAAAAGCCTGCAATCTCAACTCCCAGCACGAAGGGGCGGATTGTTCTTGCTTCGCATGGTAATGAAAGGAGAACCGCCGCTGAGGGAGAGCTGACTGCTCCTGAGCGCGGAGTGCTTCGCGTGTTCCCCCGCGGTTATTCCTTGCCCCTCTCTGGAAGACAGAGCTATTATCACCCCCATATTATGGTTTAGGAACCTGAGGCTCAGAGAGCGAAGTGGCTGAGCCAAGGTTTGGGCTCAGGTCTGCATGACCCCCGCCCCTCCCCCAAGCTCAGAGCTGATTGCCCTGTTAATGCTGGATTCCTTTCTGAGCCCCGTCCCAAGGCACTGCTAGTTCAAGGGCAAGCCCAAGCCAGGGGCCCAGCAGGGAGCAGGGGTGCCTGACTTAGGCCCACTGTAGGTAGTGTTGCATTTGGGGACACTGCAAGGCAGGCTGCATAGTTTTGTTGGGGTTTTATGTATTTGTCCCCTGCCCTTTGTGTCCCTGGTTTTTGTAAGGTCCCTGCAAGGAATTTCTAGTTTGTAAGCGGGGCCTGTTTGACTGACTTCCTAGGACATGGGAAGCTTGTCTTACCTCCTTCCTGTCCCCTCCCCGACGTGACCCCCACGTTCCTCCCATGGCCTTTTGCACTGTAAGCGCCCAGGAGCCCATGTAATGGTGGGGACGGCTGCGGGGTGTCGGGAGCCTCGGTGGGGCCTCTGGCTCAGCCGGAGGGGCAATAAGCTTGGGGACATTCCGTTCCGGGTTCTGACCTTGCTGGTTCGTTTGTTCTTTTGTAAGAGGAATTTCATACCTTGGAGACGCTTTGTACATATTTGTAATAACTTTATTAAAAAACTGGTTGTGCACTTCCAGCTAAAGGCTGTTGCGTTTTCATTTCCTTGTGGATGGCTGGTCCCCAAAGACTCTGAGAGGATCTGGCTGCACGCCCCATCCTTCCCCGGGATCAGTCACACACTCTGTCTCTGTCTCATATTCCTGAGAGGCCCCCAAGGGGAGGGTTGGCCTAAACAGGATCCTTGGACTGGCAACAGGTTGGGGGAACTTGCCCAACAGTTCAAGTTCAAGGTCATGCACAAAACCATCACTTATTTATGTCATCGTGTAGACAAGCTAATGAGCCTGCACATTGATATCTCCAATTGTGGGCAGATGGGCCACTCTGGTGAGGTACTTTCACCTGCAATGACCTGGTCTGAGTGAGGGATACCAAGGGACCAAGTTCTAGTCTTTTCCCAGGAATGGCGGGTTGAGGACAACTTGTCTTTCTAGGTAACAGACCTCTTTTTTTCTGTAGAGACTCACCCCTCTCCCACTCAGTCCACGTGACTAGGAGTGATGGACTCCATCCTCCCACCCACCTCTGTCCCCACCTCCTGGGCTCAATACCTTACCCAGGGGACAAGCTAAGGAGTCAACCTCTGACTCCTGCTGGAGCTTTGGGGAAGCAGACGTTTGCTGCTGGGTTGGGGAAGCTGGTGGAACCTAAGCTCAAAGCTGCTTGAGTCACCTTACTGCCACACAGGATTGACGGTCTGAAAATCAAACCGCCTCGGCGGAAGCAGCACCAAGGGCGGACAGACAGGACCCCAACCTTCCCTCTGGAGCCCCTGGCTCCAGCTGCACCCGAGGCCCATGCTGTCATAAGACCCAAGTCAAGGCCTTTTATTGAAGCCGTATTTGAGTTGGTTTTCAAGTGACTGCAACCTAAAAGCTCTGCCTGATGTTTTTGTGGGGCTTCATAATGTTGCCTTGAGAGGCCTGAATTGTTACGTAGCGCTATTACAGTCGACTCTTGAACAACTCGGGTTTGAACTGAGTGGGTCTACTTATTACGTGGATGTTCTTCCATACTGTAGATGTATTTTCCTTACAACTTTCTTAATAGCATTTTCTTTTTTTCTAGCTTCCTTTATTATAAGAATACAGTATATAATACATGTAACAGGCAAAATATGTGTTAATCAATGTTTATGCCATCAGTATTCTGGTCAATAGTAGGCAATTAGTTAAGTTGTGGTGGAGTCAAAAGTTATATGTAAATATTCAACTGCATTGGGGGAGGGTTGGTACCCCAAACACCTGTGTTGTCCAAAGGTCAACTGTAATTTACATTTTAATTGTTTTTATCCTCACCAGAGGACATTTTTTTCATTGCTTTTGGGGCGGGGTGGGGGCGGAACACTAATTGGTTGCCCTCTCATACACGCCCTGACCAGGGACAGACCGCACACCCTGGGTACGGGCCTCGACTGGGAATTAAACCTGCGACTTTTCGGTCTATGGTACAACGTTCCAACCGAGCCATACCGGCCAGGGCTGTAATTTACATTTTAAATATCCAACGTAATCTGGCACCTGGAAAGCCCTTCTTACATCAGCCTGTCCCTTCCAGGTCTCTACAGCCTACAGTTAGTTAACCCCTGTAGTGGGCACTGCAGGTGCCACAGCCACCTCTCTTCTACCAGCTCTGCGTTCCGCCCTGCACCCCGGTGTGCTCTGTGGCACCTGGCGTCTTCTGAGGCTTGAGGCCTCCTCAGTGGAGTGCCTGAGGGTTCCCCCGCCCCCGCTCCCCACCCCAAGCAACCCATTGCCAAGGGCTGAGCATGGGAGTGCAAAGACTTCAGGGTGGGACAAACTCCTAGATGCAACTGACACTCCAGAACCCACCGTGGGACCCAGCTGAGCAGCAAGTTCTCGGGAAGGCTGCCTCTCGCTTGTCCTCCTCCCCTCCCGTTTCACGCACCCCCTTACTGGTTTCTCCCAGAACCACTTCCTTAGGACATCACGTGCCACTTGGTGGGACCGCCCTGGGAAAGTCCAATGTTAGGTGGCCACCCACTGCACCAAGTGCTTCCTTGCATTTTCCCCAAATGGTTCCACCTGGCTTCAAGAGGCAACTGAAGACGCAAGACTATGAACGGAGGTTTTGTTGACAGGTGATATTTATTGGCAGAAGGAAACTGAGGGGGACATTAAAAACAGCAAAGGCAGCTGTTTGGCCCAGCGCAGAAGTGCTGACAGATCGCAGGACTCACTTCCCACTTCCTCTCCCCAGCCTGAGGCTTAGCAGCCCGGAGGCGTCACGATGCCTCTTGGACTCTCCTCTTTGGAATGTGAGGAGTCTGCTGCATCCAGGCCCAAATCTTGCCGTTTTAGTCCCTAACATTCATTACACTCAAGATCTTTTACGTTCAGAGGGCCATTTCCAAGGACTTTGTGGAACTCGAGTCACTGAGTCATAAAATATTAAGAGCAGGGTTCTCTGATCTGATACTCGATCAATCCTGCTTATCACAAATGAGCTGCAGAGCCCAGACGGGTAAAGGAGAGTGGCATTGTTCTTCTCCAACGGTGGCTAGTGGCGGCTTTTACACTTGTGTTGGGGAACATATTTGGCCTGACATTTGGAAACCCCTGCACTGGCCACGCTTCCTGCCTAGAGCAGAGGTTAAATCCTCCCACCCAAAAGGAAGTCTCTAGATAGGACTTTCCCTGGAGGGTAAGGGATGAATAAATAAAACCCTATGCTGAGTCATCCCACCTCCTCCTGAGTGTCCCCTACGTGTGACACTCTTTATAGTGAAAGAGGCATGGCTTGTTATTTGCAGAACGTCAGAGAATTGTGTGTGTGCGCAGGGCGGGGGGAGAGGGGGCTCGAATGTAACTGATTAAACGATTGGTGTATTCACCAGTAATCCACATTGTGAGTGTTCCTGGTTCCAGTAAATAATACACTAGGTTTCATCACCATGGAGATGGCTACAGGGAGGTGAAGTGATTTCTCAAAGCCGCGCAGAGTTAAGAAAATACACTAACAAACAAAATAGAAACAGACTCAGAGAACAGACTGACAGTTGTCAGAGGGGAGGAGGGCTGGGGAGCTGGGTGCAAAAGGCGAAGGGGTTAAGCAGAACAACACAAAGCAAAACACAAAAACACAAAAACAACAACTCATAGACACAGACCACAGTATAGTGATTGCCAGAGGGAAAGAGGGGTGAGGTTATAGAAGGATTAACGGCGATCGAAGGAGACTTGACTTGGGGTGGCGATCACACAATATACAGATGATGGGTTATAGAAGGGTACACCTGAAACCTATATAATTTATTGACCGACGTCACCCCCAATAAATTACATAAATACAAAGAATCGGAACTCCAGGCCTGACTCCCAGCAGACGGCTCTAGCTGCCCAGTCACCCGTGGCCACTTTAATAAGTCTCCTCCAGCTCTGATGTCTCGTGCCTCTTTGACGGCATCTGTAGGCAGGGAGAGCTGATAAAAAACAGTTGCAGAGGCTGGTATTCCTTCCCTGTGGTTCTTCCTCAAGGCGGTGGGAGCAGAGAAGCTGCGTCCACTGGGCTCTGTTTCCCTCCACTCCCCTTTCCGACTTGATTATCCAGGCAAGTGGGATTGTAACATCGCGGCCATTGCCATAGTAACAGAGCTTGAAAGATGCCACGCAACCCTGGAAGAGATTTCTTGCTGGGTACCAGGAATGAGCCAGGATGTCAGGGAAAAGAAAAGGTCCTGGCTTGATGGCACACGGGGGCGAATATCCTGACTCCGCTGGGGCTGGGCCAGGCGTTAACACTGGCTGAGAGCAAGTGGGCAGCAGGGTCCCGCCCGCTTGCCCTGAGGCTTTCTCGCTCAGCTGCCCACCAGCCACCCAGGGTGCTTTCTCGGAAATGCCTACCCGGGCGCCAGCCCATGGTGCTGAAGCTGTCAATGAGAGAACAGGGCTGGCACAGACAGCAGGACAGGCAAGATTCCAGTGGCTTCTACGGGAACAAGGTTGCCTTCTCCTCCCGGACTTCAAAGCAGGGAGGGAGGTGGGTCTGCTACAGAGATAAGTAGCTCTGATGGAGAGATGACAGGAACACTGACTGCTACTGTGCTCTTTGCCACCACCCTGGCTTGGGGACCAATCCCTGACATGGATTGTCCTTTTTGCTCTGAAGGCTACTGGGAGAGAGGTAATGTCCGCGGGGGCCATTGACAAGTCTTGAGGACGGGTGTGGAGACCCAGCGCTACCTGCACTGGGGCTGAAGCTGGCCTTTCTTGGTCCTCACACGTGGTTCAGCAACCTGGCCCAGAGCTCAGGCAAAAAGCGACTTCTGGACCCAGCCTCTCCGCGGACCCAGCCACAGCTTGACTTCCGGTGGTAGCATTCCCCATTAGCACTCTCAACACAGTCCGAATTAAACATGCCACGCACCTGGGCCACCTGTGGGCCTCAGGGTCACCTCTCGTGCTTTTAAAAATCCACGTCTGCCGGGCCCCAGGCCTGCAGCATCTGAGCAGCAGGTCAGCACGGTGGTTACGAGCGCAGGCTCTGAAGCCAGCCGGGCCTGGGCGGGAAGCTCAGCCCACCGTGGTGCGCTGGGTGGCCCTGGCAGAGTGACCAGTGGCGCTCTGTGCCTCCGTTTCCTTAGCTGTGCAATGGAGGCAACAACAGTCCCTCGACCCCGGAACTGTTGCGAGGGTCCCAGGAGGTCCTCTGGGCAGGACGCCTGGTGCCCTGCCCAAAAACGACTTCACAGTGATCCTCGCCTGTAGGCCAGGTCCATCTGGGGGAGGCAGGGATCTGCAGGCCCCTCCCCAGTTTGCAGCATCAGGTATTCGGTTACCTTGAGCTAAAATAATCAACAGGCGGGACTTTGTCTATTCCGGGTTCCTTGCCTTGGAGCAGGGGAAGGCAGGGACCTACCTGGGCAGAGACCAAGTCTGGGTTAGGCAGCTTCCCCATTTGCAGGGAAGGACACACGCACTACGCCACAGAACAAGAGACGAGGGTGAGGGTGAGGTTGGGGGTGAGGGTGAGGGTGAGGGTGAGGGTGGGGAGGACAGGGGCCTGGCTTTGCGGGGAGAGGTGGACACGGGCAGGAAGCAGGACAGGAGGTGCTTGCGACCTGTTTTCCGGGAAGTCCTCAGAGCTGGACCCAGCAGCACTGACCCTGTGTCATGTCCCTGGGCGTGCCGGGGCCTCAGCCCTAATACACCTGGAAGTGTGCCGAGGTGGCCCCGTCCTTCCAGCAGCGCAGGGTGTCCACGGCGAGGGAGCGGCAGAGCGGGCAGGTGCATTCGCGGTCCAGCCAGAGGCACAGGCACTCCTCGCAGAACACGTGCTGCGGGACGGCAATCGGTGCGATCAGGGTGCTTTACGGGGGCGCCCGCTACCCTCCCGCCGCGGTCCTAGGAGCCGGGCACGCAGCAGCAAACAAAACAGACAACTCCTGCCTCCCCAGAGCTGGCGCTCTAGCTGGGGAGACAACCGGCCAAATGAATCCCTCAGATGTAGAGTATGTAGGTTGTAAGTGCTGAGTGGAGAGGCAGGGAAGTGGGGAGAGGGTGTGTGTGTGGGGTGGGGCTGCAATGTTAAATGGGGTGGCCTGGGAGGACTTCGCGGAGATACTGATGTTTGGGTCAAACTTGCAGGAGGGTGAGGAGTTAGCCCTGGTGATGGCTGGGGAAAGGGTGCTCCAGGCAGAAGCAGCAGCTTGTCCAAAGGCCCCGAGGTGGCAGCGTGCCCGGCGTGCTGCTGGAGAACGGCAAGGAGCGTGTGGCTGGCTTGGAGTGCGGTGGGTGGCACGGGGGTGGGGGCGAGATCAGAGGGTTGATGGGGAGGGTGCAGATGATATAGGGCCTTGTGAGCCATTGTGAGGACACTGGCTTTTATTCTGAGAGAAGTAGGGAACCGTAGCAGGGCTTTGAGCAGAGGAGTGACTGGATATGATTTGCATTTTGAAAAGATCCCTTTGGCAGCTGGGTTGAGAACAGTCCACAGAGGTCAAGAGGGACAAAGGGAGATTGGAAATATTAGCGAGTTCCATCACTTTCTGGCTTTAACTTGGACCAGTGATTTAACCTCCCTGAGCCTCAGTTTCCTCATCTGTAAAGTGGAGATAATAGTGTTCCCTTCATAGGAAGATTAAAAGCACTTAGACAGGACAATCAAATGCAGTATATGATTCTTGATCGGATCTTGGATGGGGGGAAAACACCTTCGCTATGGAGGATATTTTGAAGACAATTGGAGAAATTTGAATATTGGGATTTTATATCAATTTCAAGTTTCCTGGGTATGCTAGTGGGATTGTGGTTATTGGAGAGAATGTCCTTCTTCTTGGGAGGTGTATGCTGAAATATTTAGGGCTGAAGCCTCAAAATGTCAGCAACTTATTCTGAATGGGTTTGGGGGGAAAATTTATGTAAGAGAAGTAAACACAGTAAAATGTTAATGGTTAGTAAACCATTCACTCTTCTACCCTTCAACCTTTCTGTAGGTTTAAAATTTCTCAAAATAAAAAGCTGGGTGAAAATAATAATATAAAATGTCCTTTACAAAGTAAAAAAATAAACAAATATAAAAAAGAAGGCACTTAGAACTCTGCCTGACCAATAGCAAGCGTTTCTATAAGCGCTGGTTATTATACAGTAATATGATTATGTTCTGCCTATTGTTTATTATTCGTCTCTCTATGCCAGAGTGGAAGCTTCTTGTAAACCCATTCCTAGCACGGTATGCAGTAGGTGCCTAATTATGGAGTATTCTAAAGAAGCTCCGCAGTATTATAGGGGGATATAACGGGGGGCCAGTCTGATCTGGGGGGTGCTCAAGGAAGGCTTCCTGGAGGGAGGGACACCTGTGCTGGGGCCCGAGGTGTTAACTGGGGGTGGGGGCGGGGACAGAGCACAGCAGGCTGTGCAAAGCTCCTGAGGCTGGACGGTGGCTGAGGCGCTCAAGGACGGCCACTGTGGCCATAGCGAGGTGGGCACAGGGCTTTGGGGTGACAAGGTGAGCGGGCCACGTAGAGCCTAGAAGGCCATGTCCGGATGCTTGCTGTGGTCTGAAGGGCAGGACCCAAGGGCCAGCTGCCCCCAAGGGCCGTGACTGTTGCTGTCGTGTTCCCGCTGCCCAGCCCCGAGCCTGCACAGAACAAGCCTCCGTCTCTGTAGCTGACACGTGAGTCAGCTACACCGCCGCGTCAGTGGCGCCGCGTCAGACGGGAGATTCTGGAGATGCTGGGATGACTGAGACCTGGTCCCTGACTGCCAGGAGCTCACCGCCTCCTCTTTAGAGAATTAGGCAGGACAGAGTCTGGTGGCAAAGTAAGGCACATGTGCCCCAGAGGAGTTCATGATCCACGGCCTCCAGCCGGACCCACTGGAGAAAGGGTTGAGCTCCTGCAGGGGGAGGGGGAGGGGGAGGGGAGGGGAGGGGAGGGGGAGGGGAGGCCCCTCCGGACTGGGAAGGGTAGGGTGGGGCGGGTTAGGGTCAGCGGGGGATGCAGGCGGTGCTGCCTGGCTGTGCCTCTTGGAGCATGGAGTTGGGTGGGGACACCCTGGGGTGGGACCAGCCACACAGTCTCACCCCAAATTCCGCCGGGACTCCCCAGGTTTTGCTGAGAGATTCAGAGCAGGCTTTCTGAGTTCCCTGAGAGCGGCGCTCTCCCCACCCAGGTGTCCGTAAGGATGGACACAGGTGAGGCCTATCACAGAGCGTCAGGCACCAAGAAGCACAAAATCAACAGGAGATGCCCTCCTCTTGCCCTCTTTTCTTTATGTCATCGACACTCCGAAAAACAGACCTAAAGTGGCCAAGAACTGGAGGGCAGTTTGTTTTCTACTCACACTCTGACTCTTCTCTTTGGCAGGGAGTCCTTTCAATAAGCCAAGTTTCTGTCTTTGTGTTCGAAATGCCTTTCCCCTGACCCTCTGTGAGCTGGCAGGAGGCGCGCCATGAATACTGTGGAAGAACTAACTGGGCAAGCGTGTTCTGTCTGAGCAACAGGTCGAACCTCCACGCATGCTCAGGGTCTGCCTGACTAGTTCCAATGCACAGTCTGCTTCCCAGGCCCTGGCTCTGTGGGGCAGGCGTGGGTGAGTGTGACTAACATACTGACGTTGACTTGATGACCTTCTGAAGAAGAGACAGGATGTCCCTTCAGTGAGCTCTCCCTAGACCCTGTCCTGCTGTTCATATGTCCACTGATCCATCCATCCACTTACCCAACTATCTATCCAGCCACCCATCTATTCCCCATCTCCACATTTTGTCAATCACCCATCAACTCACCTATTCACCCACCCATCTGTCCATCCATTTCCTCGGCCACCCTGCCACCCACACACTCACACCTCTATGCACCCATCTTTGCACTTACCCACCCACCCCTCCACCTGGCCCCCACCCATCTCCATCCCAACCACCCGTCCCATTTCATTCCTTCAACCACTCCTGCCTGCCCGCCTGCCTTCCACCCACCCATCCGTCCAACATTCACTGAGTCAGTGTTGGGACTCCGCTGCTACACGAGATAGACGTGGTTGCCACTCGCAAGTTGCTTATAGTCTGGCAAAGAGGAGACACACCTTACGCAACCAGTAGCCTAATGAACTCTGTAGCTGACAACCGGGATAAGCGCCAGGAAGGAAAACCACCGGGATCTATGGGGCCATAGAGCCAGGAGCACCAGCTGGTCTGGGGAAGCAGAGTCGAGGAAGTCTTTATCAAGAAACATTTGACTCATCATTCATTTGTTCATTCATTCAGTGCATTTAGGGATTAACAAGGCCCTTTCACCTGGGACGTCATCTCTGCCATCCCTGGCCCGGCTCACAGCCACAAAGTGAGACGGAGATGTGTGCTCCACCTGGCTTCTGCCACCACCGGTGTGGCTGTTGCTCCTAGACCTGCGACAATGGTGCCTTGTCCAACCCTTTCCAAGAAGTCTAACCCAGCTACGGGGAGATGGCACGGTGCCAGGAGAAGGTTGGGAGAAAGACAAACAGACCAAGGCTTGGAGAGACTGCCAGAAAGGAAGACTTTCACCTTGACGCCACGTTTGAAGACTCGCTGCTACCGAGAAGGAAATACAGATGGCTCAGAAGCCTAGGCAAAGATGCTCATAATTAGGGAAACGCAAATTAAAACTGCACTGAGATAGCGTTCGTCACCTGTCAGGTTGGCAAAGCTCAAAAAAGACTTGATAATGCAGCGAGTCAGTGAGGGCGGGGAGCAAGAGGTCCCGTCGCACTCGGCACTGGGCGTGCAAGCGGATACGCTCTTTATGGAGGGCAATTCCGCTGTATCTGTCAAAACTGTACACCCTCTGACCTAGTGATACTTCTGCCAGGAATTTATCCTACCAAGAGCTCGCACATGCATGATATGGAAGGAGAACTAGTATTTATTGAACCCTGAGCACGTGGCAGTCGTGGTTCTAAATGTTTCACTTGAATTCACTTATTTATTCAACATGATGGGCCCCGGTAGGTGCTCTACATCTGCCCATTTCTGAACTCTCATGGCAGCCACATCTGTAACCACAAAAGGTGATCAATGCCCATCAAGAGGAGAATGGTTAGATAGACTGGGGTCTATCCCAAAAATTTGATGGTCAGCAAATAAGTGGCAATTTCTTAAGGGAGAGTTTTAAGTCAAAAAGGGAAGGTGCAGGATAGTGCTTGGGTAGAATATGCTACAACTCTTGTCTTTTTGAAAAAGACACGTGCATGTGTGTATATATGTTTATAAAGTGTCTCTGGAAAGATACGGAGGAAAGTGGTAACAGTCATTGCCTGTGTGGGTATTTAGGGGACTTGGGGAGCTAGGGACAGACCAACAGCAAAGTTGCAATTAGTACAGAAAGTCCTCCCATACCCCTCACGTCCCTAGTTTCTGTGTTGCTATCTTGCAACCCCACGATCCATTTGTCAGAGCTAAGAAACCCACAGTGATGCCTCACCGGCGCCTGAGCTCCAGCCTCCATCAGGATTTCATCAGACCGGCTTCCCTGCGCGGGCCCTTTCTCTGTGCCAGGGTCCAACCCAGGTCTCACCTGGCATTCTGTGGCCATGACTCCTCTCTCGTGAATTCCTCAGTCGGAATGTTGGATCATGCAAATATATTCTCAATTTGAAAATAAAATAAAAAATGAAAAACCAACCTGCTCTACTCCCCAAACAGCAAAAGCAACAAAAATGTGGCTGCTGCCAAGAAAGGACCCCACCTCCTGTCTTCTCACCCCTGGAAGGCGGTGCTGGTGGGAGAGCCATGTGCTCTGGGTCCCTCCTGGGCTGCGGGCTGGGCCGCCTCCCCAGCGCCTCCCCAACCTGGGGCTCATCTCCGCCCTTCCCTGTCCCCTGGGACGCTGCATGAATCTCCCTTACACAGCACTTATCACCGCCTGCCGCGTTTCATAGTTATTTATGTATGTGCCTGTCTCCCCAAGGAGACGTGAGCTTCCAGGGGAGGGGACAGGGTCTGTGTGCCCTCTGCCTCCCCTCCCTGGTGTCTGATAGGGTGCTCGACTCATATGCATTTGCTGAATTGACATCTTAGCCCCGATGTCAGCAGGAGGAGGAGGAAGGAGAAGAAAGAGGAGGAGGCGGGGGGTGGAGGAGGAGGAATACAATTAGGAAGTTAAAAGGGACTAACTGGTATTTACTGCTCTGGGTTGGTGACCCACAACTAATAATAATGAAAACAAATGGTAACAATAATTATAATGATAATTATGTAAGAACAACTTTTATGACCAGATAATTCAAATTTAGCCCTTTCCAGAGATGATCTCATTTAATCATAATACTAGCTCTCTGAAGTAGGTATTATTGTGATACTCATTTATAAATGAGAAAAACCAGCGCTCAGGGAGATGGATGGCCCGCCCGGCCAGGGCCTAGTGCGCTGCTGTGTTTCACAATCGGGATATTGTGACACTACGCCACACTGAGTCTTTCATTTCTGACACTGAAACTGAGGTTCAGGGAGGCACAGGAACCTGCCCAAGGCCACCCAGCTAATGGGAGACAGAGCAGAGACTTGAACCCAGATCTGACCGACTCCAGTATGGTCCAGACTGTTCTCAAAGACCCATCCCAGAGCCCCAAGGTTTGGTCACGGGACAGGCACTTGAGGCTTTTGCAGAGACTCCCCCAGCTGCAGTCTCTGATGCCCTTGCCCAGCTTTGCTCACCTGGCACATTAGGATCACAGGCTCCCGGAACTCGGCCTGGCAGATGGCACAGATGTCACCAGCTTCTGTGCACTGCTGCCCAGTGGCCCGGACTCCGTAGTTCTGTTTGTGGGAGGGAGAGAGACAAACACAGCTGTGGACCCCTGCGGGAGCCACATCCCAAGAAGCCTGATGAGGCCTGTTTCTGGCACCTGGCTCCTGGTTCCTAGGACTTTGGCCAGGACCACATGAAGCCGACTCACCTGAGAGGTGCAGAGAAGTTTCAGGGCTTTCCTAACTCCACCCACGCGGCCACAGATGTCAAAGGACTGAAAGGAAAGCAGGGTGATGGTTGAAAAGCACCCAAGGATCCCTCTCACCACTCCTGAGCCACCCTCCTGAACCCCTCATCTTTGCCCCTGAGCATTTTCCTCGTCATTTGAAACTCTTCCCTCCCACCAGTTTTACTTAGGTCTTCCTGCCTTACATCAACAGCCTCTCCTGAGTCTGGGCCAGGATAGGAAATACGTGGCATGCATACTGCCTTGCCCCTTCCCAAGCCCAGGGCAGACATTGCTAATCGATCACAGGACTCTTCCTCTGAGCCCAGCCAGAGCCTGAAAATCCTTCTCCGTCTAGCACTCCAGTCAGCCACTTCTGGTAGGGCAGGATCACGCCGCAGGGCTGACACCGCATGGATTCCTGGCTAGGCCTGCTGGGAGGAAGGACCGCGAAGAACCGCGAAGAACCCAAGCACTCCCCTAGATTCTGTAAGGCCAGGAACAGAGAAGGAAAGAGAAAAGAGGAGGATGTATCTCTTGCTGGGGGAGAAAAACTGACTGGTACTAATGATGAAAAGAGAAGCGCTGGATGCTGATTGGCAGAGGTGAGGGTGTGCAATTTAGAAGGAGGAGAGAACCAGTGTGGCCGGAGGGTTCAGAGCAGCCGGGGTTTATGTATACTTGTGCTTGATGATGTATGCTGATGTATGCTGATGTATGCTGATGTATGCTTATGTATGCATGACGCTTGTGCTAGTAGCTCTAGCTGGGCGGTTCTGGCAAGTTACTTCTCTCTGAGCCTCAGTTTCCTCGCCCATAAAATGAGAATAGTAATGGTATGTATCTTGCAGGGCTGTTGTGAAGAAGATTATGTGAAAGGAGAGCATATGGTGAGCTTTACAGGCGAGAAAGTAGGGTGGATTTCGCCACAGAAAAGAGTGAAGTCCTGATACATGCAACACTGTGGAGGAACCTTGGAAACACAATGCAGAGTGAAAGAAACCAGACACACAAGGTCACGTATTGTGTGGTTCCATTTATATGAAGTGTCCAGAGTAGGCACATCCATATAGGCAGAAAGAAGACTAGTGGTTTCCAGGGGCTCGACGTGGGGAGGGCGGAGGAATGGGGAGTGGCCGCTTTATGTGTACAGGGTTTTTTTTGGGGGGGGGGATGAAAATGTCTTGGAACTAGACAGAGGTGGTGGTTGCACAACACTGTAGATCGGCTAAATGTCACTGCACTTTGTGTTGTGTGAATTTTACCTCAATTTAAAAGAGAGAGATTAGGAAGTCACTCCAAGCTCCCCTCTCGCCCCCCAGGCTCAGGTAGTGAACAGGGCCTTCCATGGGCCAGCCCTTCAGCCCCGCCCCCTCACCTTGCAGAGGCTGTAGAGGATCATCAGGACCCCGCCCAGAAAGTAGCTGTTGGAGGAGTCGTCACCCATGATGTATTTATACCACAGCTGGATGGGGACAAGCGATCGGAACAGCTGGCTCAACTCCTCAATGACCAGATAGAACTTTCCCTGCAACCACACAGAAAGCATCAATTATTATTAGCAGTAAAGACCCAAAGGACCCAGCCGGGGGGTCCCCGGCCCGGGCAATAATGACATTCCAGGTCACAGGCAGGTCATTAATCAGCTCTGGAAAGCACTCAGGCCCGCTCCTAATGGGCCTGAGATGTGGCCGGGGAGACGCGGCCCTGCCCGCTGCCCTCACCCGCTGCCCACCAGCCCCGAAGACCAGAGCTCCACGGATCACGTTTCAGGGAGGGAGAAACCAGACACCTATGGTAGAGAGCTGGAGTGCGGGTCACTCCCTGGTGCCTGTTGTGTGGCTTTGAGGACATGTGGGGGCACAGTCCCCGCCCGGCATGCGGATCACCTTCGTCTCTTGAGGGCTGACCAGGGCATCACGGGACCGCCCTCAGACGCATGGGCGGGGTGGACCACAGGGTGCAGGTAAGGGCAGGCTGAGAGGCGGACGGGGCAGACACACATTCTCCTTCCCAGCTCCACCACCTGCCGCCACCAAGGAGGCAGGACAGCAGCTGGTGAAAGAACATGGACTTGGGGACTCGGACAGGGCCACGTTTGAATCTTATCTTGCTGTGTGTTCCGGAGCCTCAGTTTCCGTGACCACAGAAGGGGGTCACGGTTCCTACCTTCTGGGCTCTGAGGCGCCAAGGAGATAAACACAGAAAGCGCCGAGCATTGTGCCTGGCATGGAGCGGCACTAACTAACCCTACTTTCCTTCCTCCCCTTGCCCTTGGACAAGGCCCCCAACCTTCGGTGGCCTGTGCTATAAAATGGGCCTGAAAATAACCCCACCCCGTCAAGTCTTAAAGTTATATTTACACGTACTTATGACCTAAAATTCCACTCCTTGGGATGTACCCGACAGAAATGAAAAACATGTCCACTTGTATGCTAATGGTCACAGCAGCTTTATCTGTAATATCCCTAGACTGGAAGCAGCCCACACATCAATGGGGAAGTAGATAAACAAATTGTGGCATATTTCTACAACAGGACACTACTCAGCCATGAAAATGAACAAATGGCTGGTATTCACAACGACATGGATGAATGTCACAGACATTCATTTGAATCAAAGGAGACAGTTATAAAAGAGGACATATGGTATAATTCCAGGAAGTCCTAGAATAGGTAACCCTAACCAGTAGTAATAGAAATCAGACTGGCGCCTGCCTGGGGTTGAGGGGTGCGAGGGCTGACCGCAGGGTGCAAGAGGAACTTTGGGCGGCGGTGAGAAAAATATTTTATCTTGGGGTTGGGATGGTGGTCACACGGGTATATACATTTGCCAGAATCCGTTGAAATACACGCTTCAAACGTGTGCATGTTACTGTATTTAAATTACACTTCAATAAAACTGATGAAAACAAATGAAAAAACATGGAAACAAACCCCTGCCTCAGGCATGCATAGCCTTAAAAATGTACATAAACTTTGCTCTAGCAATTCTACTTCCGGGAAGTTATTCTAAGAAAATATTCAGATATGTGTGCTAGGATATGCCAATAAGGAAGGGTAGGTGTAGCATTCTATGCAGCAGTACAAAACAAGTTACAATCTAAATGTACCAAAAGAGGGTCTAATTACAGCAGAGATCTGTGACAGAAAGCCAACAGCCATCCAAATATCCCGAAAAATAGGTACTTCACAGAGAAGAAGCCCAGCACACGCCCCGTGCACCAAAGGTTACCATCCTCAATAATAAATCAAATTCACAACCTGAACCCCCTGATAGGATGTACTGGGAAAAACAGTATCACTTCTGTGGTTTTCTGGTCAAAAACTCATAACCGCAATAGAATCATGAGAAAACAGACAAATCCAAACTGAGGGACAGTCTATGGAATAACTGTCCAGCCTCTTGAAAAGTGTCAAGGTCACAAAAGATAAAGACCACGGAACTGGCAGGTCGGAGAGGGTTAAGGAGACATGACAAAATAAATGCAACGTGGAATCTTGGATTTGACGCTAGTCTAGGAAAAAGACGTGAGTGAGACCGTTGGCAAAATCTGAGTGAGGTCTGTAGTTTAGTGAATAGTTAATGGTATCCATGTACATTTCCTGGCTTTGCTCACTGTAACACGGTTATATTAGATGTTAGCATTAGGGGAAGCTGGCTGAAGGGTATGGCAACTCCCCACCATTTTTGCAACTTTTCTTTGAGTCCAAGTTACTTCAAAATAAAAAGTTAGAAAAGGAATCATACTGGTGGTGAATTATCTATGGACTCGGAAAAATGCTCATATTATAGTTCCAAGTGGAAAAAATACAGCATGTAGAAACACTCATTTTCCTGTGTTTTTCTGTCTTTTCCAAATCTTTTTTATAAGGAGCACATGATATGTTTACATGAGAGAAGAGAGTAAAGGTTATAAAAACATGTTGTGCATCCACCAAATGGATGGTGTGCAGGATGTGAATAGAGACTTCATAGCTCCCCTGTTATATTCTGTCTTGATGGGCTGGGCACCGGTCACTTGGAAGGGGACCCCTTGAAGCAGATGTGCCCACTTCTGCTAAGAACCAAGGAAGGACCTCCAGACGTCCACTCTCCCTACTGCCTGACCCCTGTGACTGTCTGGCTGCGCCCCCACAGTGAGGTTGTTTTCCATGGGGCCTCCCGGCCACCGGACTTGCACCAGACCCTGACCCCCGGAACTACCCCTGGAGGGGAACTGCTCATGTCCCTCTGCAGCCTGTGGGAAGGCAGTGGTGACGGGGGAGCAGAGGTGTGGGGCAGGACCATCATGTTTGTTTTACATGCCAAAGGTGTGCTGGGTGTTGGGACAATGGAGCAGCAGCTCAGTGGTGCCCAGGGCTGCCCAACTCTGTCCACGCCCTGGCAGCAGGCTCCTGGCTCTGCAGGGTACCCAGGCTATGGGCTGCTTTCCTGAGCCACCAGCCTCAGCTGCCCCATGCCTCCCTCAGTGCTCTCCACTCTTGTACGTTCCATCTCATTCTGGACCAGGAATCCAGTCTCTCCCAGCTTCCAACCATAACTTGCTTTTGTCATTCCCAGAACCTCCAAAGAATTCTCCTTTCTTCCTACTTCTCTCCCATGCATCCATCCATCTATCCACCTATCCAATCATCCACCCATCGTGCATCCATCCATTCACCCATCCATCCATGAATCCATGCATCCACCCATCAGGCATCTAGCCATGCATCCATCCATGCATCCATCCATTCACCCATCCATCCATGCATCCACGCATCTACCCATCAGGCAACTAGCCATGCATTCATCCATGCATCCATCCATTCACCCATCCATCCATGTATCCATGCATCCACCGATCAGGCATCCAGCCATGCATCCATCCATGTATCCGCCCATCCACCCACTGGGCATCCATCCATGCATCCATCCATCCACCCATCTACCCATTGGGCATCTATCCGTCCATTCATCCATCCACCTTTCCTTTCTTTCCTTCCTCCCTCCTTTCCTTCCATTACTGATGATGGGGACTCTAACGCCACTTCAGAGCAGGTTCAGGTACCAGCTTCCTGGCCCTTCTTTCAGTTGTTTCTCTACAAAGACCAAGCTCTTACTCTGCAGATGGCATACTGGTCCCCTGTTCTTTGCCGAGCTAACACCTGTTCCTCTTTTGGGTCTCAGCTAACTGTCACCTCCTATGAGAAGCCTTCCCCAACTCCTTCATTAAATTAGGTGCTCCTGTTACTCTCTCTAAATCACACCCTTAGAGCACTTCTCACAATATTTGAAAAGTTATTTTCATATCTGTCTCACAGGATCATGAGCTCCGTAAGCGCAAATGTAATCTGACTCCTGGTCCTATCCCAGCACCTAGCACATAGTAGGTGGTCATTTAGTAAATGGCGACCTCTGAAGCTAAAGATCCTACCCTCGGGATTCACATCAACTTCCTAGAGTTTGCTGATGAAGAAGGAGCATTTGAACATCAAAGACAGAATGTCTCTTTCTGAGCCAGCACCAATGTCACAGAAAATAAAGAGAGGGACTGCCTGTGTGGCATCATACTAAGGGTAGCAATTAGCTGCCGGGGGCCGGGCCACTTGGAGGAGATAAAACCACCAGGGAAAACTGGGCATATCCTAATGAAACCATCTCTCTCTAATTAAGCAGTTTTATAATTCCAGGTTTCTTAAGCATGTTATTTCTGACGACCACCAAATGGAATGCGTGGTTTCTCTGGGGTGTCAGAGAACAAGGAAAGCCATCAGACTAGGAGCTGTCTGGCCTCCCTGTCGTCTGCGAAGGGGGAACGGGATGGGGACACGGAGGGTTCTCTACACCGGGATTCTGATACAGGGGCGGGAGCCGTCAGGGCGGGAAGGCAGGCTCTATTCTGACTCCCTTACTGCTGGGAGCGGGGCGTGGGACAAAAAGTGCAACGGGAAACAAGGAAATAACAGAGGGCTGACTCTGGAAGGGGGTGGTAAGTGAAGGAGAGTGTGACACTGAGAATCAGGCAAACTGAACAGAGAAGGAGAATTTTTGAGGATGCACCTACACGGGAAAGATGATTTGAAGTATGGGGTGAGGGGCAAGGGAGAAGGGACACAATCAGATCAGTGGTAGCAGCGTGAATGGATAAACAACAGGTAGAGAGGGATGAAATCTGTTTTCTGCATCAAGATTAATAATGGATGTTTCTATAGTTTTGCTGTTTATGAATCTCTTTCATACACATTTTCTCATCTACAGAGGCACAAGACATTTTCTCATCTACAAGACAGCACACTGGTTAAGGACACAGGACTTGGGGCTGCACCTACTAAATTGGTTGATTCTGGACAAAAATTTAACTGCCCTGAGCCTCAGTTTCTTCATCTGTAAATGGGGTACACACACACACACACGCACACGTGCTGGCAAACCATCTCTCTGGAAAACAATAAAAAAGAACCCTGATTTGTGTGTTCACCAATTACTGTGGTATAAATACTCCCACCAAGGCCTATTTCAAGGTATCAAGGGCTTAATAACTACTTG